ACAAATGAAATGCATGAGACGTGGCCTACCAAGTGAAGCTCATCTTCCTCAATCCAGTGGGTCCAGCCCCTCCCCTCGATCTCTCCTTTCTGCACACATACCAGTTTATCTCCATCCCAGGTGATGATGGTCTATAATGCATGACAGAGATTTATTTTTAACATATACTGTATACATCAAAAATAGAGTTAAATAAGGATTGTAAAGACACGGAAGCAGGACAGATTTTGCAAGAGCAGTGGGAAGAGAAGAGCACTTCTATATTATACGGACACAAAAAGAAAATTAAATCTGACCCGCAATAAATGTGTTTGCACTGCAATTATATGCTGCACAAAGAGAAGCATGTTGGAAAGGCCTCTTCTTCTGCCAGATTTCAGTGGAAGAAATTAAAAAAACACAATGCTGGGTGCTGTTAGGACTGAATGGGGTGAGTGATTTTTGTTCAGGGCAAACCGGGTCACAACATCTTTAGTGAATGCTGCGTTTCAAGTGTTTTTATTTACTGCAGCTCAAGAGAATTTGAGTTATATCAGAAAGTGAACTTAAACAATGGCCAGTTTTTAGAGAGGAGACACGTCTAGTGCATCATAACTATCACTTTGTTTATTTTCTGCTGGACCAGGTGTTATGGTTAACTAAAACTACATTAATAAAGCTTAAATAAAATAAAATATAAGTATTAGATGAAAATGTAAGCTAAATTAAATTTTTGAAATGTTGCCTTGGCAAATAACCAAAATAAAACTAAAACTGAAATAAAAGTAAATTAAATGTCTATTTAGAAATATATATATAAAATAATAATAAAATAATAATAAAAATGACAAAAGCACATAAAAGAATTCCTAAAAATGAAACAAAAAATAAAAATATAAAAACTGATAAAAAAAAAACTCAGTATAAATAATATAAAATAACAGTATAAATAATACTAAAATAAATAAAAGTGTATGAGTGCTGGACTATAAGCAACCTTTCCAATATGTCCTACAGTGGTGTACAATTGTCACATTTGGCCATTTTACAGTGTATCTGAAATATTATTTAAAGAATAAAATTCTATTGCAGAATATTGCCATTACTCACCTCACACCCATACTTTGGATTAGAATACATAACATCCAATTGGGTAGTCACATACAATCTAGTCCCAAAAGTTAACATATTGCAACACATCTGAAGCTCCAACTGTATCTAAAAAATGTGCATATATAATCAGAATCTCTATCTCTGCAATCATCTCAACACAGGCCTCTGATATACCAAGTTTCTCCAAATGACAGGAAAAGCCAGACGAAAATGAAAGGAGAGAGAGTAAAGCTTCTTATTAGATTAAAGAGCCAATTATTGCTCTCATTTCACACTTTCCTCTTTTCTCATTAACATTAGTTGAGATTGTGAACTGTAAATGACACGCACAGTTAGTGATTTTCAAGGGCAATGAAATTATACAAATGGCAACCCTATAAGAGAACTATTACGGAAATCCCATGACTTAGACTGATCCTGGAATGTTATAAACTTTTTGTGAAAATAAGTATAATAAACCATGAAAGCCTATTTATTTAAACTTGCTTCTTATCAAAGGTTAGAAAAATCTCAAAATTCTCAATAAATCTTTAGAAAACATCTAGTGTCCTTGCAACGCATAAGCATTGAGGGAGAATCAAACACATAATCCTGCAAGTTCATATACTAAGCCAAAAAGCACAGTTTAATAAATAGTATTACAGCTTTTTTGAGTAGTACTTTAGAATAAAACAATATATAAAACTATGCTTTTAAGCTCTCAAGCCTCAAAGTGGTTGCATTGAAAGTTTGCTCACCATACATTTCCTGTCATCCACTCCACTCAGGTCCTCCTCAAACTCCTGACCCACCACAAAGTCCATGTTGTAGTTCCTGAAAGTGCTGAGAGTCTTTATGATGAAGTGATCTCCATCCTGAGTGATGTCTTTATCAGGCTTCAGCAGGGTGGCAATCTTTCTAATAGCTACATTTACATCTTGAAAAGAAAATTATAGCCTCATGTGAAAATGTGAATTTAAAACAGTACTCCAGCAATACCACAGTACAGTGATGGTTACAGGTGGAAATAACATGGTACTTCATCAACACTATGATGAGACATGCAGCAGGGTTACATGGTAATCGGGATACCAAAGGTACATTTCCAGACTGATGCTGCTTATTATATACACCAACATCTTGTATAAAAAAAGGACAAAAATAATAAGTAGGAAACCACCATGTATGATAAATACGAAAATACTACAAATCTGCCACGATTAAGGAGTCTTCGATAATGTCTGTATATGTGAATACAAAACCTACTAAAGTAATTATTTCTGAAATTGCTCTTATAATCTAATGTGTATATATTTATAGGGCTTTACAAGCATCTAGTGGTTACACATTGTTTTACATATTATATTTCTCCCAGCAGATGGCATCTTTCTGCCACGCATTGTATTTTCATTACATTGGCTCAATTTTTGATTTATAATTCAGAGGTCAATTTTGTCGAGTACCCCCTCAAAATAGAAAATTGTCAAGAATAAATATTAAAACATAGGATAAAACATTGAAATATGGTACATTTATTTCATAAAAAAAAAAAAAAAAAAGAATATTACACATTGTTCTCGGTCTGTTTTGACCTCTGTTTGACTCCTAAGTGAAGAATACCAGAGGATTTATAATTTTAATGGTGTAAATGAGCCACAAAACTCACCCAGAGCTTTCAGGTACTCTTCAAATTTCTCGTTGGAGATCATTTTCCAGTAGCCGTTGTAATCAGCAGTCATTTTGAGATACTCCTCTGATGAGTTTGTTCAAGAAAGATCCGACATCGCAGTTCCCCTGCGAACAAATGCTTTTCATCTGAAAGAAACCCTCATTCAACACGGGCACCATAATCTGATTACTTGTGAACGTATTTTTTCTTCTCTGTTATGGAAACCGTTTCTCCGCCTCTAGTGTTTGGACATGTGGACAAAAGATCTTTATACTAGAGGTACCGCAGTCTATGGTTTGGACCCATCAACGCAAACTTTTTTCTTTTTTTTGTACAATTATGTACATATTAATACAAACATATACATCTCACAACAGTAATAGAACATTTTTTGAAAAAGGGTATACAGAGAGAGAGAGAGAGAGGGAGAGAGAGAGAAAACAAGTGCATGTACATAGGTAAAAAAATAAAAAACTAAATTAGATCTATGCCAGGGATGAAAACATGAAAACATTTTATTAACCAAATTAAAGTGACATAGAGCTTCACAGGTATTTTTAGCTTTTCTGTTTCTAATATTGTGCAAAGTAGTACCATATTGTTTAATTTCTTTTATAAAAATGTTCACAATTTGGCTTAGCTTTAGCCCATTTCTTTACATGAATATGGTATTTTCCAAGTAAAATAATTAGTTGTGTAAGAAAAGAAATTGTACTTTTAGAATCAATGGTATCTTGTACAAAAACAAATATGACATCATACATTTCTATTTGTATTAATGTTCCACACATCCCCATCATGGCAAACTTGGATGAGATATCACACCATGTAATTACGTCACTTAAACTCTTGAGCGATGTAGGGAATAGACCGGGGCTAGTTGTCACAAGAGCTGCATCAGCTATAATGTTTTGATAGGCAAGTTCTCAAATGTGTTTTAAATGTTTTACATATAAAGTAATCTATTATTCAATATTAATCATGAATATGTATTAATAATGCAGTGTTTCTAGGTTACATGTTTGCGGTTTCATAATAGTTATACCGTTTAAATTTAACTGAAAAGATTATAATGTTTAATGGTAGGTCCCATTGTGACAACTTACCCCATATAATGTAGCAACATGCTACCGATAACAAAAAATACTCTTACACATAATGCAGATTTCTTTAATATAAAGTAGCAAATAAAAACTATTTCAATTCTCTTCTTAGATTAACTCACATAAAATACATAATTTTGAAGTCTATTTGTTCTTTAAATAAAAGAAAAGTAGGTTTGTGCTTGATATAAGATCAAATTGCATTGTCACTCCTTTCATCTGTCAGTTAAAGTGTCTGATGCTTTGAATTGGCACACACGGCCCTTCTGTGCAAAGCAGCAGCCATCTAGAAGAGTGGGACTAGTTGTGTTGAATTAATTCATCTGGCTTTTCTTTCAAGACAGCATGAATAAAGGCTTTCTTTAAAACCCAAACTCCACACACAAAGACTGTCAGCAGGAGGGCTTCAACACTGCAAAAAACACCCTTAAAGCAACTAGCCGGTTTGAGCCAAAACTCACAGTCAGTGGTACAAGGAAAAGGAAACGATTCAGATAGACATCGCCTCAAATCTCCCACATTCTTCTATTTTATTTTGTCTGAAACTCTTTTTTCCCCCCACCGACAAAGCTTGATGAAACATCTTTAGGGATCTGACAACATGAATGACGCTTTCTGTGCAAATGGAAATGGAAGAAGCAATGTTTGCTCTCCAAAGTGTAAAGGCTCTGTTATTTATCTTCCTTGTGACATTCAGCAAAAGTCAACAAATCCCAGACCTGCCGAACATAGACCTACTGCTCTGCAGTGATCTGGCAAATCTAACTCCTGCAGAGACAGGATAAATTCCTAAATCCCTCTCCACACATTACACTAGGAAACCACGGTCATGGATAACGCTCACTTTACACAAGACAAAATATGCAACTCCTCTAAAGCTGCTTTCGCATCTTCAAAATGAAAAGTGAGAGAAAAATGTAATCTTTTGAAACATATTTTGCTATTACTTGTGACTAAGACCACTGGAGGCTATTTCTTATACATCAGTCTTGTATTGTTTGCTTGGTAAGAGGTCGTAGTTTAACGTCTTTGTTCTTCATCTCACTGTCTTGTGTATAAAGGTTGTGCTCTCTCATGTAATCAATGACCGAGTCTGGTAAGAGATATTTAACACTCCTCTCCGCAGTTTCATAATAGTTATACCGTTTAAATTTAACTGAAAAGATTATAATGTTTAATGGTAGGTCCCATTGTGACAACTTACCCCATATAATGTAGCAACATGCTACCGATAACAAAAAATACTCTTACACATAATGCAGATTTCTTTAATATAAAGTAGCAAATAAAAACTATTTCAATTCTCTTCTTAGATTAACTCACATAAAATACATAATTTTGAAGTCTATTTGTTCTTTAAATAAAAGAAAAGTAGGTTTGTGCTTGATATAAGATCAAATTGCATTGTCACTCCTTTCATCTGTCAGTTAAAGTGTCTGATGCTTTGAATTGGCACACACGGCCCTTCTGTGCAAAGCAGCAGCCATCTAGAAGAGTGGGACTAGTTGTGTTGAATTAATTCATCTGGCTTTTCTTTCAAGACAGCATGAATAAAGGCTTTCTTTAAAACCCAAACTCCACACACAAAGACTGTCAGCAGGAGGGCTTCAACACTGCAAAAAACACCCTTAAAGCAACTAGCCGGTTTGAGCCAAAACTCACAGTCAGTGGTACAAGGAAAAGGAAACGATTCAGATAGACATCGCCTCAAATCTCCCACATTCTTCTATTTTATTTTGTCTGAAACTCTTTTTTCCCCCCACCGACAAAGCTTGATGAAACATCTTTAGGGATCTGACAACATGAATGACGCTTTCTGTGCAAATGGAAATGGAAGAAGCAATGTTTGCTCTCCAAAGTGTAAAGGCTCTGTTATTTATCTTCCTTGTGACATTCAGCAAAAGTCAACAAATCCCAGACCTGCCGAACATAGACCTACTGCTCTGCAGTGATCTGGCAAATCTAACTCCTGCAGAGACAGGATAAATTCCTAAATCCCTCTCCACACATTACACTAGGAAACCACGGTCATGGATAACGCTCACTTTACACAAGACAAAATATGCAACTCCTCTAAAGCTGCTTTCGCATCTTCAAAATGAAAAGTGAGAGAAAAATGTAATCTTTTGAAACATATTTTGCTATTACTTGTGACTAAGACCACTGGAGGCTATGTATTGTTATCAGTCTTTGTTTGCTTGGTAAGAGGTCGTAGTTTAACGTCTTTGTTCTTCATCTCACTGTCTTGTGTATAAAGGTTGTGCTCTCTCATGTAATCAATGACCGAGTCTGGTAAGAGATATTTAACACTCTGGCCTCTCCGCAGGGCTCGTCGGACCTCTGTAGCACTGATCTCATTTTGGACCCACTCCCGAACCAGAAAGATGCTCCGCCTGTGCCTGGACAACAAGTCGGACTCATGTATAGCCCGGTCTGGCTGCAGGCTACCTCGGCTCACGCAGACCAGTCCAAAGCGGCCCACCACCTCCTCTACGTGATCATCCTTCCACAGACCAGGCACCTTAAACGTGTCCATGAAATCTGCTCCACAAAGCAGCTTCAGCTGAGGAACCTCTGTAGGGGAGAAAGTGATCACATTAATGATTGTACTGTATTTTTTATCTAAATGAATTAAACAGTTACCTGAAAATTTAAATTTGCTTAAAAGTTACTCAAGATGTAAATTAGTTTGTTTCTTTATCAGAACAGATTTGGAGAAACCATTATGTCACTTGCTCACCAATGGATCCTCTATAGTGAATGGGTGCCGCCAGAATGAGAGTTCAAAGAGCTGATAAAAACATCACAAAAATCCACACGACTCACAACTTTAAACCATTGTTTCTGTCTATAATCCATAATAACACTTCCTCCGGTGAAAAAGTTGTCATGCACATCCAAATCCACCAAAAAATATTTGTTTAGAACTGTTTTCACTTGTAAACTATGCGTGATCTGTGCATATTTTCCCCCTGATTCAGACAAGACTTTTTCATTGGAGAAAGCAATATTATAAATAGAGGACTCGTATTTTAGCAGAATGCAATGTTTTTTAATTAAAATTGTCTTGAAGGATTTGTGTATTATAAACAAGCAGCTTTTCATTTCACAAGGTGTTGATAGACTTGAGTCGTGTGGATTATTGTGATGTTTTTATCAGCTGTTTGGACTCTTATTCTGACGGAACCCATTCACTACAGTGGGTCCATTGGTGAGCAACTGATGTAATGTTAAGTTTTTTCATATCTGTTCCGATGAAGAAACAAACTTCTACATCTTGGATGCCTGAGGGTGAGTACATTTTTATTTCTAAGTGAACTATTCTTTTAAAGGTGATGCAAGTAATGTTAGCTGTTTTGGAACTATTCAACTGTTGTAATTAAAGATGGAGCAGGAGAGCAGCGGCATGTCATCATAATACTGTCAAAGTTGTCCAAATAAACGGCAGAAAACTGACAACTGCTTATCAAGCTGAATATGGTGCTTAACATGAATGATGGCAGTGTAAAGAGCCTAGAGCTGTCACAGAGACTGATATTATAATTTAGACGACTGAAATCAGTGATACCTAATAAGAGAGATTTTCTGAGTGCCAGATTTTCTGAGAACCAAGTGCTTCTGAACAACAGCAATGTGATTTGTCATCATTTATTTGCCCTCATGTCTTTCAAGACGTATTATTATTTTTACATCCATGAAGCACAAAAGGAGAAATTTTACAGGATGCCCACATTGTTATTGTTAACTAAAACTATTAAAACTACTTTTTGGTATTTGAAAATAAAGCTAAAATAAAATAAAATAAAATAGAATATGAATATTAGTTGAAAAACTTAAACTTGAACAGCAATGAATAAGTTTATGTTAAGTTTAAGTACTAAAATTACTATAACTAAAACTAAATAAAAATTAAAGTTATATAGAATAAAAATACAAAAACAAGAAAAAAGATTAAAATTACTAAATTACTAAACATTTAAAATTAAAATGAAAACTGAAAATATAAAAATAAAATTCAAAATATTAATAAATACTAGTCAATACAGATTGGTTCAGAGCAGCTTCCGTCACACCCCTGGACTGTTTGTTGTGTTTTCTTTCCCCATGTGCTTAGTGTGACCTAGTAAATATAAAATATAAAATTCAAATTCAAAATATTAATAAATATTAGTCAATAGTCAATACAGATTGGTTCAGAGCAGCTTCCTTCCGTCCCACCCCTGGACTGTTTGTTGTGTTTTCTTTCCCCATGTGCTCTGTGTGACCTAGGCTGTGTCCGAAATCGCCCCCTATACCCTTAAATAGGGCACTATTTGAGGGAACAGCCATTTTTAGTGGTGTCCGAAACGATTGTGGACGTTCTCGAGTGCACTCATTCAATCCCACAATGCACTGCAAAAATGAGTGTACAACTGGTGCACGCTCAACGGCTAGAGAATGCCCATAATGCACCGTGAGAGTCAGGCGGCGAATGAATTCCCGCATCTCGCCAGAAGATGGCGCCCGCAGCTGAATAATCAATCCGTTCATTTTTACAAAGCGCTCATCCATGGCGTACAGCATAATGTACAACACGGGTATAAATTCATTGTAAATTGATTATTAAATTGTTTGATTAGGGTTTATACATAATTTCCGTGACAGAGTTCAAGATAAATCCTTTAATCTTACTACTGGAGCTGCTAGTTTGCTAGTTTCAAATGATTAATAAACAGCAAGCACAAACTATGCAAAAGAGGCATTCCTTCCGGTGCACTCAGTGTCCGAATTCACTACTCGTTTTCATTCACTCCTTCTAGTGAACTGAATTAGTGACCTAATGTAGGGAATAGTGAATGAGGGTATAGGGGGCGATTTCGGACACAGCCCTATTTTCTGTCTTATGTTATTTGGTTCAGGTGTGTCTAGTTAATTATCTTCATTTGCCAACCTATTTAAGTTGTGTTCTGTTCACTGTTTTCTGTCCGGTCTACTACGTCCCTACGTGTGTCTCCTGCCTGTTCTGTCCTGGATTTACCCTTGTGTGGGTTTATTAAAGACTATTTGCATTCATCTTTTTCGTGCGTTTATCTCACCATAGCGTGACAGAAGACCGGACCTAGAAGTGAAAGTAATGCGGCGTCTTTCCCCGCGTTTTGTTTTTGTTTGGAAAGTTTTTCTTTTGTGTTATTATGGTCGACCCAGAGCCCAGCCTACCACCACCCTGCTTCGCGGAGCTACAGTATGAGCCCACCGCTGATGGAGAGCCAGAGCCCGCTGCGACTGATGAGCCATCGCCGAGGAGAGCGACAGAGCTGAGGATCTCCCCGGAGCCAGAGCCTCAATCAACGTCAGTCCAGGTGCGCGAGCTGACTGTTAGACACGCAACGGTGGAAAAGACAGTAGGGAGCGAGGGCACGGAGGATTGCCCTGCCCACCGCACCACCGCTAGGGGTGAGCTGAGGTTGCGCTCAGAGGATATGCCCTGTCTTCTCCCGCCATCATCATCTGTCTGTCCCGTCACGACCACGGAGTTTGTGATTTAATCTTCTGTCTGTCCTAATTCGACCACGGAGGTCGTATTTGAACTGTCTGTGTGCCTTGAACTGTCTGTCAGTCTGGAAATATTTGTCTGCCCTGAACTATCTGCCGGTACTATAACGACCACGGTGGTCGTTCCCCTGTCACTGGCGCTCACGGTGTTGGAAGTGGCCTTATGGTGCGTGTCTGTTGGCAGCACACACCGTGACAAATTCTCCTGAGCATTGCTGTGGCCTGGGTCCCACCTGGCGCCGCATGCTCCAAGTCCCTCTTGTCATCTCCTTGGCTCCTTCCTCCTTCTGATCCGCCCTGGCTCCTCCCTCCATCATCTCCACCCTGGACTCTGTTTGTCGTCCTCCTCCCGGGTGTCTGTCCTCCGCCTGAACCTCCTCCAGTATTTGTCTGCCTGCCAGCCCTTTGCCATTCCCTATCACCATCCCACATCCACTCCTTTGTCCTCCTCCGTCCCTCCATTTGTTGTTCCTCCGGCACGAGGTCGCGCCTTCGGGGAGGGGGGTGAACTGTCACACCCCTGGATTGTTGTGTTTTCTTTCCCCATGTGCTCTGTGTGACCTAGTTTCTGTCTCCCGTTCATTATGTCATTTGGTTCAGGTGTGTCTAGTTAATTATTTTTATTTGCCAACCTACTTAAGTTGTGTTCTGTTCACTGTTTTCTGTCCGGTCTACTACGTCCCTACGTGTGTCCCCTGCATGTTCTGTCCTGGATTTACCCTTGTGTGGATTTATTAAAGACTATTTGCATTCATCTTCATCTTCTTTGTGCGTTTACCTCACCGTAGCGTGACAGCTTCACAGCAACAAACAGCAAAATAACAAGCATTAATGTTGCAAAATTCATTCAAAAATGACTTCAATTTTAGCTGTAAAGCAGATCTTCAGAAGCCAATAATGTCATTATTCAGCTCAATTTAATTTTAATGGTGATTCAATTCGTAATATATAATAAGTATAAATAATACTAAAATAACACTGAATGTCCAGGCAGCTTTTTCTTAATATAAAGCCAGCCAGTAGGTTGTCAAGTTTCAAAAAGAATGAAAATAAAAGTTCCATTATACAGGAAATCATTTATATTCATTAAAATATATGTACATAAATTGGCCACAAATGACAGTGAAAATAGTAATAGTTTCACAATTTCAAATCAACAACTGTTTTAAAATAAAAAAAATTATAATATATTGCTCAATTTTTTTATTTCTTTAAAAAAAAAATTGATCCCAGTCTTTTGAACTATAATATATATTTCTGTAAAATAAATGCCCTATTGTTTTCTATTGTATAATGCAAATCTATTTATACAGTTTTTTTGTGGCATAGGTGTTCAAATACTGCTGCAGTGATAACAGTGGTGCTGTGCAGTTCCAAATTAGGATAACCTTCTGCATCCTACAAAACCTGGAACTCAGAAATAACCTGCAATACTGGAAACCGCACCGTGGAAATTGCATTCAACACAGATTTGGTGTCGGTTAATGGATTTGCATATTTCTTTCAGTGTATCAGTTGCGAATACAAACAAAAAAACAATGCTATCAATGAATTTCCCCATCTTTCAATATGTTGTGGTGGCTCATAGACAAAATGTTTTACACTCCTTGAACCTCTGCAAAAAATCTCAATTTTTCTTTCCTCAATGCTTCATTAGAAATCATTTCTTGGCTAGCAATGCAAGGGCTCGACCTCAGCAGTGCTATTTACAGGATATGAAAGAATCAATAGTATGCTTTTAACTCTAATTCTCTCACTATAGCATGTGTCTGAGAGCTGGCTTTTGTTTGAGCAGGCGTGAATTGCAGGGGGCAGGAAATGAACTAAAGCTCTTTATTTCTACTCCATGTGACTAAACATAGATCTAAAAAAATGTATGTGCACACTGCTTGGGCATGGGGAAATAGCACCCCCTTCATACTTATTCTAATAATGAATACATTATTGAAAAACACCGTAAAGCAAAAGCATTGTGAACATTCCAATACAAACACTACTATTTCCAGACAATCATAAATGGCTTAATTCAGTAAGCGCCAGATTTCTTTGAATCGGCTATAATGGGGTTTGCATGAAAGCAATTTAATAAAAAATAATCCCTGAGATAATTCAACATGAAATCTAAAATTAAAAGGATCTCTTTCTGTAAAAATGTCAATGATTTTCAACGTCTTTTAGGTTAATTCTGACTGATATGTTTATTAATCATTGTAACAGAAGGATGAATACGAGTTTCTTTATGTAATCTTCAGTCCAGGCCATAACTGTTTGTTGTTAGAAAGTCAAAAAGCTGTAAAAGTTACATTTTGGTTCACACTGTTCACAGATACTGAACATGAATTCCACAGCGTCGCTTCAGTTTTTAACATAAGTGCAAGGTAAGATTTAATTAGCTGAACATGTAATTTGACAAATTGAAACATAGGCTGAATCATTTGTGTGATTCATGTAATTTAAAATTTAATGTGAAGAGACAAGAAATGCTTTTCCTTTAGTGTTGTTGACATATTAGTCATACCAATTAGAGTGAAAGTGTCCATATTTTAAAATAAAAAGATTTGCAAATTTCAATAAAATTCATATTTCATAAATACTTCATTTCCTTAAATTTATTTGAATCCTTTAATTATTTAATTCCTTTAAATAAAAATACCATTTCTACTCTCCCCTTTAAAAAAAAATTGGACCCACCCCCAATGTTCAAAACATGATTATGGCCTTGCTTCAGTCAACTGCCAAACAAAAGAAATGACACATGAAAGAATAGAAATAGAACAAAGGGGAACAAGCATTGAATAAGGGAGTCCTCTGAAAGGTTTTGAGATAAGAGGGTATTTGTGTGCATGTGTTCTGTCATTCTTGGCACTTGTCTTGTTATAAAGTTGTCCTGGCTATTAATCTCAGCTTCATTAACAGTCCGAGCATGCTTGTCTTAAGCTCAGTCATCCTGTGGAGGGTATTAGGCTTCATTAGCATGCTCCTCTACAGCAACCCCAAATAAAAGCATGGTTGAAAAGAGGCCTAACAGCGCTTGTGCTGGCCAGAAAGAAGACAACAGCCTGTTTTAAATGCATCAGACTTATCTAAAGTGATTAGCAAAAACAGAAAAGGCTTTATTGGGCCAGAGAGGAGGTTTAGAGGAAACCGAATTGTAATGAGAAGTTCTTGTGCCAATTTATAAAGACATATTGAGAGGTGGGCGGGGCTTACCAGAGACTGTGGGCGGGTCCTTGCTGCTGTGGTACTGAGCAGCTATGCGGTCGTAGTGGTACCTGTGTTAAGTGAGTCAGGGAGAACCAAACACAGCAGATAGGCAATGGTGAGCATGAATGGCCATACTGTGTAGGTAATCAGCTTATGAATGTAGGAGAAGCTTTACATACACACTGAATTACACAAGCCTGATAGATGTGTATCTCAACTTCTCCAGTCTCTCACAAGAGGCTATTATAAGCTTTGTTGTTGCTTAAATGCAGATAGGAGTGTGAAACCTTTACATAGAGAATAATTGTTGAGTTAAAAGCGCTTTTTGTAACTATATATTGCCCCAAGTATGTGTGTTTAATGTATAAAGTGAATAGCAGAATAAGGTATAACAGCTTGTTGTGTACAATACAGTGTACAACTGACATTGGAATTAACCAATAGCAGAACCAATCAGGGATGTGCACCATTCAGAATTTGAATTGGATTTTAACTGAAGTAGCTAAAAAAAGATGTAGAATTGTTTTTGAATTCTAAAGTAATTTTAACAAGAAATGCAAAGTTTCTCAAGACAAACTTTGAATGTGGACTTCACTAGGCCTTGTTTAACAAAAGCCTTGATTTCTTGAATGTTTATAGGCCTGACAGACAGACAGAACGATAGAACGATAAATAGAATGATAGAACCATAGATAGATAGATAGATAGATAGATAGACAGACAGAGACAGACAGACAGATAGATGCAATGCTGGTACAATTTGGCCAAAAGGACTCTTATAAGGCACCTAACCAATAAATGCACCTTGTTGCTACCTATGCTGAATAGATTTTGTAACAGAGCCTGTATGTATGAAGCATAGCACTACTGCATGTCCTTTAAAAATAGCAAAAACTCAACCTGGCAATTCATCACATAGGTCAACTTCAAGGGCATATAATCAATTGCATGATTTCGTCCAATTCTGCCAGGAAGTAAATTACGAACCTAGAAAGACAAAGCCCTGGCACGGGCCCCTGACGCAAGAGCAGCCATCCTCCTCCCTGGCATCGGAGTATTAATTAGCCACCTAAGGACATAGCTAGCAGTTGGCATAAAACAAAATTTGAGTGCTCTGAGGGGTCCTTGAACAGTCTCTTGTTACTTTACTATCTCTTGAGGGATTCAAGAGGAGGAATGGCACGTCACGACGAAGAGAGGGGACAAGAATTTGGCACAGTTGCAAAACGAAAACCACTAGCAGCCAAATACTAAAGGATGTGGCAGAATCTCAGAAGAATGGAAACGGTGGCTGTTATGATGGATAGTAGCAGAGGCGTCATGCCCATTCAAAGTGAGGGGGCACGTGCCCCCTCAGATTTTTGAGCCAAGTGGATTTTGAATGCAGCTTCCAAAAGACAAAAAATAGCCGATTAATATTTTCTATATTTAATACAATCACACCGGCGTGATTAGAACGTTCAGTGCGTCATATCATAAGCTGCTAAACTCAAATCTGCGTTCGCTGGCTGGCGCTGAGCCAAAGACAGACGCGTTTTTACAGCACTGCGCATTAACCAATCACACACGATGCTGTTGAGCTTATGAATGCAATGACCAATCAGAGGTATTCAGATGAGTCATCGCTAAAATGCCAGTGTTTTCTTCATTCGCTCACTGTCTGAATACCTCTTTCTGGCGAATTATCTCGTCAAAAACAACAAAGTGCAAATGTGTGTACGAATCTGTAAGATATTAATTTCATACTGTAAACAGCTTCAGTGATTTTAATGGGAGTTTTTGAGAGTGCTTGAACTCTAGGTTGTCAGTGAAAATGTTCTTTGATAATGTAAATGTTCTTTGCTCTCTTTCTGTACAATGAAAGTGTTATGATTAGTAGCCTAACTTGCAATGTTTTTATTCACATTAACTTTCAATGTTAAATTCACATTAAATATAAACTCAGTCGTATTAAAAATATGTTATGGCATGACATCCATATCTGTTAATTAAGTAAACAGAAAGGTTTTTATGCATAGTTAATAGAATACATTATTAGGTTACTTTGACCATCGCCCACTATAGATCAACAAAATCTATATAGGTGAGAATCAAGATATTTCATGATATAGTTAATGCGTTTGGGAATGTTTCGAATAAAAAGGAAAAAAAAGCACTTTATTTGGCCTTCCGAAAGTAGATGCAATTAGGAATCATTGGTTAAGATTTATTTACAACAGAACAGCACATCCCAGATGTTCGAATTTGTGCAACGCATTTTATGGACGACAGTTTTTTGAACCTAGAAGAGTACAGATCTTCTAGGAGTGTCACAGTGTGAACACATATAAGATCAACCTAGAAGAGTACAGAACTTTACAGATCTTCTTTATGCACCAAGAGCCTTGCACCCGTCCTTCGGATGAGACGTTAAACCAAGGTCCTGACTCTCTGTGGTCATTAAAAATCC